TTCCCAATAAGGTAAGATTGAACAAATTTCTTTCAAAATATCAAGGCCCTGGTAGCTAGATAAAATAAGAAATCTTAGATCAGCCTCAAGGAGGAACTTAGCAATACCAGAGGGGATAGGGAGCTAGAAATATTTACCCTGCATTCCTCCTACTATGGCTCTGATTCCCATTTCTCCAAGTATCAAATGAATGTTATGAACCGTAAGTAAGAAAGGACTTCAGAAAAGGAGGATCACTTTGACCTGAAGTGTTTCAATCAGGCTTCATGGAGAAGGTATTATTGAAATGGGTCTAGAAGAAAGGCAAAACCTAGATAAGTAGGGTGGGAGAGCTCCTAAGAAAATCTATCTCCTTTATTACCCTCACTTCCTCTTTTCTCTTTCACTTCTCAACTCTTTGCAATCTGGTGTCTGAGACATCACTTAACAAAAAATTCCCTATCCAAAGTCACCAAAGACTTTGACATTGACAATGACACCACAATCATCCAAATACATCAATTGCTTTATCTGATGGCTTTTTCAATAGGTGTATTTCTGCAGCATTTCATACTTAGTCCCTAAGCATCTGTTAAATGCTTATACAGTGGGAACATTTCTGATTTCTCAGCAGCCTTTGATACTTAATCCCTAAGTGCTTGTTAAAAGTTTATACGGTAGGAATTTAGCACGTGATTAGACAACCTAAGATCCGTATGTACTATGCTTGGGGACCTGCTTCCAGGAGACTGGAGAACTAACACTGATGAGGACATCCCATTTTGGACTATCATGGAGTTGGGAGGAACCTTTTGCTATTGGCTACATAGTCTATTTTTCCTGGATTTATATGAGGGTGAAAAACTTGACTGTCAGAGAGTGGTACCATGTGATAAAGGGGCAAGGGTCTGAGGGCATCCTTCCCTACCCTCCTTAGGCCCTGTGGCCCCAAGAAACAGGACTAGTGCTTTGGCCTTGCCTTGTTTTCTCTTCTAGGTTCAGGGAGGCAAGGTCTGATCCAGCCCAAAAGCTTGAGAGATCTGGGAATCTGGGAATCAAGGTGATGTTGCAGTTAGTCCATAAGCAAAGCCCTGAGGAACAAGGAACTGTGAGTATTAACTACCTCAGGGACCTTTGGACTTGAATTTGGTGGAACTAAAACTATGGAAGAACTGAAGGAAATTCGGAGCTTAATTGCCCTCTATACTCATAGAGTGTGTTTAGGGGGAGGAGGATTATGCCCTCTGAGGTACTGGTGAAAATGTTGGGAATATTTCTATGTTTATCCTTACTTATACCTTTGAGATAAATATCTCTTCATAAAAACTAATCTGATGTTGTGACTGTGGTTAAATGAACTGGGGTGTTAATTACTAGCTCCTAATAAATAGGAAGAGCCTCAAGCTAATGGCAAGGAAGAGATAATCTTCACCCCACCCCTTAAGGTATTGGATATGGGGGAAGGGGATGTTGCAGCACATAAAGAATATAATAGGCTTGGTCCTGACAGAGTGGGACCAGAGTCTGCCATACTACACTTACTATGTGGCAGGCACTGTATTAGACACTAAGGATACAAAGAAAGGCAAAAACATCACCTGTCTTCAAGAAACTCATATTCTACTGGTAGAGACAACATGCAAACTATGAACACAAGATAAATACAGTGTAAATGGGACATAATATTGAGGGAAAGGCCTTAGTAGCCAGAGAGGTTCTGAAAAAGTCTGCTTGCAGAAGGTTTGATTTGAGAATAACCTTGAAGGAAGCCAGGTGGTAGAAGGAGGAAGGAGAGCATTCAAGAAATGGAAAATAGTCAAAAAGCAGGGCCAGGAGATAGATTGTTGTTTGAGAGGAACAGCAAAAAAGTGAGTAAAGTAGGAAGGTGCCAGGTTGTGAACAGAAGATTTTCTATTTGGTGCTTGAGGTAATAGTGACTGGTGTTTTTTGAGTAGTGACATAATTAGACTAATGCTTTAGGAAAACTACTGTAGTAACTAACTTGTCCTGGATGTTTTCTCGTGTTTTCATAATGTAGTTCTTAGTTCTACTCCTTCTCGGTCTCCTTTGCTGATTTATCATCCATATCACATCCACCAACTGTGGCTGCACCCAAAGACTCTGACCTAGGTAGGCCCTCTCCTCTACTCTCTCTAACCTCATCAGCTCCCATGAATTTATCTTCTTTATGCAGATGGCTCCCAGCCTTAGTTTGTCTTGAGCTCATCTTGCATCATTAATTACCTATTAGACACTTCAAACTGTTATCTCTAACTCAACATGTCCAAAATAGAATTATTATCTTTCCCCACAAACTCATCCCTCCCTGACCTCCCTATTTCTGTTGAGAGAATCACTATCCTAAGTCACTCAGGTTCATAATCTCAATATTAAATTTAATTCCTCACTCTCCTTCATTCCATGTATCTAATGATGTGCCAAATCGTGTTAATGTAACCCCCACGGTGTCACTCCCTTCTCTTTACTCACACCATAACCTCCCTAATTCAGGCCTTCATCATCTCTTTACTGTTGTTGTAGCTTACTAAATGGTCTCCCTTCTCCAATTAGTCCTCTACACAACCACTAAAATAATCTTCCTAGGGCACAGGTCTGTCATCCCTTTATTCAATCAACTCCAGCGACTCCCTTTTGTTTCTAGAATCAAATACAAACTTTTTTTTGGTTTTATCAAGTCCTTCATAAATGGACCCCAACCTTCCTTTCCAATTCTGTTACTTCCCTTCCTGTTCTCTAGTACATTTAAACCAGCCTTCCTGCTGCTCCTCACAAACCATTTATCTTTTGCCTATATGCTGAAGTAGATGTACCAAATATTAAGTGGAATGCATTTCATTCTTATTTCTGCTTCTGAAAGTCCCTAGTTCCCTTCAAAACTCCACAAGCTCCATCTTCAGCAGGCTTTTTATTCTTTCATCTCCTAGTGTTCTCCCCCCTCCCTCCCCCACCCCAAAAAACATAAGCTCCTTGAGGTCAGGGACTGTAGCATTTTCTACATATAGCACAGTAACTGATAGGGGCTTAATAAATATTCCTTATTTTTTAAAATGTAGGACATAGTTTTTCAGACCTACTGACTTAAACTTATTGAGGAAAGCTAGATGCTGACCATCTCCTCACTAATCTTATATTTCTAGCCATCTTTATTTCCAAAACCAAAGATCACTGTCCTTGGAAGTGGGGGAAAAAAAGCAAAATAAAGTTGGGTGTAGCTTAGCTTTCATCCTGTCATCAACCATTCTACTTAACTAAAGTGGCAGTTTTAGTCCTTCTTTGATCTTCCTCTTTTCCCAAATAAGTTAAAATAGCACTCCTTCCATTTCTTTTGATTCTTACCATTTATCAACAACCTCAGCTCATCCTAGATTTAACTGCCCCTGACACATTTCTTCCAGGATTATTCTGTTCTTTTGTATTTATCCTTCTTTATGTGTCCCAGCTTCTATCCTTTAATATATCTTTTAAAACATTTTTATTATCTTTTGTTTTTACATTACTTATTTCCAAAGTGATACATCTCCCTCCTCCACCCAGTGAGTAATCCTTTGCAACAAAGAATAAAAGAAAAATAAATGCAGTTTAAGAAAACTAACCATTATAATAACAAAGTCCGATAGTATATGCAATATTCTACATGCACAAATCACCACTTTCACAAAGAAATGAGAGTAGTACATTTCCTCATCTCCTTTGGAGCCAAACCTGATCATTATAATTACATGGAATTGTTTTCTCTATTTTCCACGAACTTTGCTATAGTCACTATGCATATTATTTTTATTTACTTCATTCTGCATTAGTTTATGTTTTCCCATTCTTCTCTGAATTCATAATATTCATTGTTGCTTATAATTATAACTGGGTATTCAGACTTTCCCTGGGGGTTGAAAAAGGTTCTGAAACATAACTTTGAATACTGAGAATCATAGTGCTGGACAATGTTATTTCTTCCTTCCCCTGGGAGACATGAACTCAGTGAGAAGAGAAAAAGGTATTTGTGTAGGGTCAGGGAGGTGGACTTCTACCATGCTTGACTAGGGGCAAGGTCAAAGTTCAGGTATGGTGTGGAAAACCAGTCCAATAGTGGCAAGCAAGTTGGTAAGTCGAGGAAGACAGATGTCGCAGCAGGAGCTAAGAATGGATATGTGGTTAGCGTCCCCTGTTCTCTTCTCCACCTATGCCCGAGAAAGGTGTGTGGCCGAAACAAATTGAAGCTTGGCTGTTGTCACATCATGGGATTGGCAAAAGGACAATAAAGTCTGAACTCCCCCAGTGCTGGTAGCTAACAGGCATTTTCAACAAGAACCTCTCCATTTGTTTAAGCTGGTTTAAATTCCTGAGTCCTGTCTCCTATGACTCTTCTTTACACTAATTTTATTTCCTGAGTCATGTGTCCTATATACTCACTTCAGTTAATTACATGCTAGATAGAGTGCAATGGAAGATCTCTGTGACTAGTTTCACATGAACAGAAATAAGGTCTGAAATGTAAACCTCTAATCCAAAAATTCTAGGATTTCCTTTTCATACATGAAAGCTAAGCCAATACAAGAATTTTATGGTTTTGATTTTGTTAATATGTGCCTAAATAATAGAGCTGAGTTATATAACTCAAGACCATGACCTCCCTAAGTTAATGGAGTCCCTAATGAGCCAGATTCAAGTGATTTGGTGTGCAGGTGTCTCAATGAAGGTCTGGAGCACAGCAGAGAATTGGAGCAAATGAAGGTCTTACCTCCTGTCTGCCCATTAGGAGAAAGGTGTAGTTAGCCCTGCCCACATTCCTTTTTTTTTTTTGGCTAGGCAATGGGGTTAAGTGACTTGTCCTGGGTCACACAGCTAGTAAGCATCCAGTGTCTGAGGCCGGATTTGAACTCAGATCCTTCTGACTCCAGGGCCAGTGCTCTATCCACTGCACCACCTAGCTGCCCTCACCTGCCCATATTCCTTAAGGCAACAGTATCAAACTTAAAGAGAAATGGATTCCTTCAGGGCACATATTAACTTGGAAAACCATAATTTAACATTATCTTTATTGTTGTATTTTTACCAATTTTGTTAAAGACTTCACGATTACATTTTAATCTGGTTCAGGTCACAACACTCAGGAGTTTTGTGGGCTGGCGTTTTTCACTTAAGGTGTGTTGGGGTGTGTGAGTAGAGGGACACAGAAAGACTTTTCATTTTGCTTTTTATTCTTTTACATTCATGAACCACAATTTGTTTAATCTTTCCCACAAATGATGGGCACCTACTTTTATTTCCAGTTTTTTGCTACCACAAAAAAGTGCTATGAACATATATATGGAACCTTGAGAAAGACTGCTTGTTCCCTACTAACACTCTCATTAAGGATAACCTTGATCCGCATATAAAGATTTTGTGTACATGAGAGAGTAGGTAGATTGATCAGATGATGTATCTTTAGCTGCATTTTTCTGATATTAGCAAGGTCTGAGTTTTTTTTGCACTTTCTGTGTCTTCCATTTCTTTAAATACTTATATATCAATCTTTTATAACCCTCACAATTATCTTACCTCTAGTATGGATCATTCGCACTTGGCCCAATTTGGCTGCTCTTCCCAGGTTTGGAAAATTTTCTTCCCCCCATTCTATCTTCTTAGCACAGGACTGTGATGGGTAGATCAAAGCATGGTGCATCAATTGCTCTTGAGGTGAAAAGTTTGTCATAATAAGCTTCTCATTTTTCTTATTTGTTGTTCTTTTGCTTTTCATACTTAAATGCCCTTGGGATGATTTTACTTAGCTGGATCTCCTCCCAAACTTTTATTCTCCAATGATTCTCTCTGCTTTATGAGATGATACTGCTTATATTTATCCATCATCCTTCTCTATGAGATTTTATAAGTTTATATTCAAATTCTTTGCCCGTCACCTCTCTCCACTACACAACAGAGTCAAATGTTTGCTTGCAAAGGCACTTTCTCAGCTTTTTTGGTCTTGTGGAAATAGATTTATATTGGTTACAATATTTACTAAAATATCTATTTGTGATTTATTTTGCATTTCCTACTTTTCATTAGCTGTTCAGTTCCAAGAATAAGTTGTTTTGATTCTATGGCAAATCTTTTTTATCACTATTATTCTTGCTTTTTAAAATTCTCATCTTTGCTCTGAGTGTACAAATATAGTGGGGTCAACAATAGCATCCACATCACTAACAAGTGTTTTATCTGCTAAACTATCTTTTGAGATGTTATTTAGTTTCTTTCACTGCTCCTCCACCTTTTGAAGGATGAAATTTGATAATTACTTAATTTCAATTTCCCTTGTACTGAACACATTTAGTTGCTGTATTCTCCCTCACAGAACGGAAGCACCTTGAGGCTAAGGGATTATTTTCATCTTCATATTCCCAGTGCCAAACTAGCACAGTGCTTTGTGCAAAGTAGGTGCTTAATATTATTGAATCATCAAGGCAGATCATAAATGTCTTAAGTCCTCTGTTTTTTGACACACAGAGAGCTCTAACAGATGTTAAAATAGTTGGTTATGCTAATTGAGCAGGTAGACAAACAAGTGCTTAGAAATTGGGATGTTTGGAGTTAACATTCAATCTGACCATGTTTGCTTTCAGTTGGTAGGGTTACAAAATTTACTTCCATTGTCCTGTATCTTAAAAGCCTTGCCCTGTATCCTAATTTAATCCAATGAAATTTGGACTCCTAGATAGCCTTAGATAAGAACTCTCACTTCCATTACATGCAATCTTGGTGGGATCCAACCCTGGGGTAGTGAACGGGGACCCTTTATTATTATTAAGAATAATGAGGGATAAAACATGGGCAACGAATCCCTAACTTTCAAAGCTCTGCTGAAGCTTTAAAGTGACAAAAGCACAGAGAAATGCTATGAACCCTTTGGCCAGTCTGGTCACTCTGGGTGACAATAAACCCAAATCCTTGTTCTTTGCAAATCCTGTCCAGGTTAACATGTCCCTTCCACCATAAAAAACAAGGTCTGAGATATAATAGTTGAGTGACTTAGTATCCCTTCTACTCAAATGGGAGTAATCACTAGATTTTGAAGAATTACTACGACGACTTAAGGTGATGAACCTTTGAGCTGCTAAATCAGACCTACTCATAATCTGTAAGTAACATTTAGCCTTTGCTTCTTATTCTGGGTCCATGCAAGAATATTTCCCCTAGGCTGAGGGTTCTTGATCTCCCTGATAAAGTCTGGGGAGGTGGGAGTTGGGGAAGGTTACTATTGCTCCATTACTTTTTGGAGTCAGTGTGTATCTCATAAAGCTCCTGATTTCAATTTTGGCTTAAGAAAGTGGGTAAATACATCAGGCTGAATCACTTCCAACCTCTTCACCCCGTTCTTTGCTGTCGATCCTCTGATCTCACACTTGGATGACAGGGCTGATGGCATAGAAGGGCTATGGTACTACTGATGGGTTGCCTCAGCTAAGATTCCCCAGCTCATCAAGAATGTAAAGGACAGGAGGTGGTGGAGTTTCCACTTTAAGAACTCACCTTTCTAAGAGGATTGCTGCTTATGGGTGATAGGCATAGGTATACACAGAATGTGTGCTGGGGAGCATTTCCCAGTGTTCTTTCCCAGAGGACATTATGAGCCCTCTGGCTAAGGGACAGGGGAAGGGACAATAAAAATTCTCCACCAGGGCATGCTGGCACACCCAGTCCACATTCTATGCACTTCTATGGCGAGAAGAATATCATATGCCCAGGACCAGACTCAATCTAATTTCCTAAGTCATGACAGAAGTACTTAAGATCAAAGGTAGTTAATTATAATTTTTAAAAAATTGTTTAAAGATGGCATAAGCAGCCATTGCATGTCAACTGGGTCAGGTAAAGCCTTAACCACTGTCAGTATCAATGCCTATGAGGACATTCTTAACCTTGATATGGTGGGAAAGGTACCTACACAAGGGGTACTTGGCACACAGGGCACTGGACAAGGAGAGTAGCTTTCATCTGCATTCAGCAGTATTCCTCACTATTGAGTTCATCTCGTGTGCCACCCTAAATGGCTACCAGTTACAGTGCCAAGTAAGCTAAAGGGCCTCGAGAAGTTCTGGTTTGGGGCTCAGCCCTGTGATTCTATTATGCTTTTGTCAGGTGGCTGGGATACAAATTTAATCTCAAGTAATGTAATCACAGAAGGCCTATACCCCTCAAAATCAACAGACATTATTAGGCTTTAATGAGTAAACAAAATGAATTCAGAAACCTGATATCTGTATCAGGTGGGAATGCTTTTGAATGAATCCAAGAATCATCAACAGGAATAGGTTTTAAGAAACTGCCCTATAAATGGATGAATAAATCCTGAATTAATCTTAGAATACTATAAGGGCTTTGGCCACTGGATGAAGGCAAATGGTACCAGGCAGAAAACATCTTGGAACTGGTTGGAAAGAATCAAACACACCCCTGAGCCTATGTATAAAAACAGAAACAGTCCAACACTAGAAAACTCCAAGTTCAGGAGCTGAGGACTCCAGCAACCACCGAGGTTGATCTTCTATGGATTCACAAACTCCAGGTGTGGTGAGAAGCTGGTCTTCCCCACCCCAACTCTCACATTCTTCTTTCCAAGAAACTTAATGACAAAGAGTTCCACACTGATGAGAAGCTTTGCCTTGGTTTTCAGAAGACAATGAAAAGCTGAGCTTCATGTCTAGGTAGCTCCAGTTCTTCAAAGGTATGTTCCATAGAGAATATCAGCTCTGGTGAGGCTGTCAGGAATGTCAGAGGCCCAACACGCTGCTCGGCACAAGCATGGCAGAAGAATCCACCTTTGTCCTCCTTTTTGCTACTCTGAGGGATAAAGAAAAGAAGGCAAAGAGAAAAACTGACAAGCGAGAGTGTATTAAGAGACACTGTCACTGAGGGAAGTATTATGGTACTACCACAACCAAAAGCCAATTAAGTTGTTTTTGGTTTGCTAAAGTAACTGAAACTTTGCAATGAAATTTAATATATAAAATATTTATCAAAAAGACATCCTCTTCTATTGTATCTGCAAGGATGAGCAAGTGAAATTCAGCCATTTGGAGGATGTAAGGAAACAGCTACTTCACGACCATTCTCCAAACAAAAAGCTGCCACTTCCAATGAAAACTATGGAAACAAACCATGGATATATTATCTAGGGTTGAATTATAGTTTGGGGGCTAAGTAGCACCATGGATTGAGGGCTGGATTTGGCAGTCAGGAAGACCTGAGTTCAAATCCAGCTTCAGATACTTACTATGGGCAATTCACTGAACCTCTCTCTCTGTCTCAGTTCCCTCATCTGTAAAAGGGAAATAATAATAGGACTCTACCTCCAAGGGTTACTGTGGGAATAAAATGAGATAATAATAACTAGCTTTATATAATGCTTTAAGATTTGCAAAGAGATAACAAAAGTTTTTTCATTTGATCCTTACAACAACCCTGTGAAGTAGGTGTTATTATTATTCCCATTTTACAGATGAGGAAATTGAGGCTGAGTTAGGTTAAGGGACATGCCTAGGGTCATATAGTCAGTGCCTGAATCCCTAATCCAGCCCTCTCTCCATCCACTATGCCACTTAGCTGCCCTTTTGCAAATCTTAAAGAACCATATAAATGTTAACTATTATTATTGTTTCAACTCTTTCTCACCAGCACTTCCCTCAGTTTAAAGGTGACCTGCTGAACAGACAGACCCTCAGTAAACACTACTCAATATAAGGTCTTAAAAATCAAATTAAATCAAAGGATGACAAGCCAAGGAAGATTAAGATGCTCTCATTAAATATTTCCCAATTTAACAATAATGTCAGAGCTATAAACATGATCAAAGGCTGGTCCATGGTACCATTAGCTTTGATTCAATGAAAACTTTCCAAACTACTTCAACCCATAGTGGTCCTTGGCATTCTCTAGATGTCTATATCACTCAAAATCTAGCATTTATTTATATTGTTTCATATTTTTTCTTTACATGTGCCTTGTATATTTGAGTTCTCTCTCAATATTAGAGGCTCTGTAGGCATTCAATAACATATTTGCTTGTTTGTTAAAATTCTTTTTCTTGTACATCTCCCTACCCCACCCCACCCACCTCTAGCATAGCACTAGGCATGTAGCTGAACACAATATATTAAATATTTGCTAAATCAAACTGGGTCCAATGTCAAAAGTGACCTACGTACAAAAGTGATGGGAAATTTCTTCATGGTGAGGACAGTCTCTGCAGGGATAATGTTATTGCACTGCCTCACACAGCAAAGTACCTCTCCACTTTTTAAGACATCTCTGGTTAGCTCTGCTTGAAAGTAGTACTCCTGGAAAAAACAGAGATCAGAAGTAGTAACTATGCCATCCTCCACTCCTGAAGCAATCAGTCCTTACAACATCCCTGTTGGAGAAGAGTTGGGTGTCCCTCATCCCACATCTACATTATTAAGAGGACTGATCTGATTGTCTCATCTGTGGATAAGACAAATAAATGAGACCATCTAAGCTTTCGGCTTCCCTGCCTCTTTCCCCCTACTCCCTACTCTTATGGCAACATAGTTTCTTGGAATATCCACAGGATTAGGGATAGGAGATAGGGAATAAGGACTGGATCAGTGATTTCACTGGGAACAGGGAACTCCTGAAAAAGGAAAATCCTTTTTACCAATGTATGTCAGCACTTTCTCTTCAGCTCCTAAGCATCAGCACTGTCTGACTTGCTTGTATTTGCACACCCAGCATGTCACACAGGTTCCTGGCACAAAATAAATGCTCTCTCACTCATTCACTCACTCTCTCTATCTCATTCTTTCTTGGCTATCTTGGCTGTAGTCATGTACCATTTTTACTTTTTTTTTTTTACCCCCTCTTGATCTCCAGCTATTTTCAACATAAAAGATGGAAAGGGAATTAAATTATATGAGCACATGGATAGTGCTACTCTTTGCAACTTGTATTAATTTTTAAGATTTTTAGTCCTATATACTAAAGGAAAGCAACTCCTTGTAGCAACACAACAATCAGTGGCAAAATTAACTGGATCCTAGAGCTCTTGACACTTCTACCTTCCTTCAGCAGCTACTCAGAAGTTCTGTACAAGGTCTGCTTTAACCCAGGCATCTAGAAAACAGCACATGTACTTCTGAGACAGAAAGATGATTTGTAGGGAATGAAAGCGAGTGATCACAGTTAGGATTTCCTTTCAGATTTCAGATTTGTAGCCTAAGTCTCTTTGGTTGAAGGAAAAGAGAACTGGATGGTTTTTACAGCTCTGGCTGTCCTACATTTAATCTCTCTACAGAATCTGGGGTATAATGGGAAAACCAAAAGCTCGATAATCTAACCCAGGAAAAGCAGGAAGGAGAAATGGTGAAGTACAAAGTGTGCGTCAGGACACTGGAGGGAAGAGACAACTGCTGGAAAAAGTGTTGGAAAATGAGCACTGTGACTAGTTGACTCTAGATACTCTAGCCAGTGACAAGTTAACCAGCTGCACTTTTAATTTAGCCCTGGACAAAATAGATTCATTCCACTTACAGACGACTTTCTGGCCAATGGCAGTCGCTGCTTCGAAGACAAGGTAGAAGTGGGGAGAGAAAGCATGTGTAAAGGACATTTATGCAGAAATTAGCTTTATTTGATTTTCTTTCTTAAAGGAATAGAATATGCAAAGGAAGAAATATGAGCAACTGTAGCAAAACTGTGAGAATAAGCTGACTTAGGCAAAAAATAGAAAAAGTATGGAATGTTTCTGTTGCATGAAGAGCCTCAGAGCCACTGGCAGGCTTGGACTCCACTTTTCTGTCATTTTCTGTTACATCTTAGTCAAGACACCACATTCGTGTACTGCAGACTAGAGTTCATTATCTAGTAAAACACTTTAATCTTGCCCAGTTCTGTACCCTAATTCAGTTTTTACAATCCCCAGGCCTTTGACAACATTACTATGTGTCCCATGTTTTATCTGATGGAAAGTACAACTCTGTCAGATTATTTATTATTTCTCTTACCCCAGCCAGAGTTAAAATGTTTTCCAGTGACTTGGTCATGATGAGGCATTTCTTGGCACGAGTCACTGCAACATACAGCAAATTCCATTCCTCATCAGGGAATGACTCTAGAGAAAGTGGGTGGAGCAAGGAAGGAGGAGAATGTTACTTCAAAGAAAAGATTAAACAACTGACAAAAATCTACAGTCATATTTAAATATTCTCTAGCCTCTGCCATTATTTCTTATATAACAAGTGATGTTTTTATAGTGCTTAAAGCCACAGAAAGCATTTCTTCAAAATATCCCTCTGCAGTACATGGTACAAGCAACTATGCTGATCAGGACAAGAAAGGGACCAACGTCATGCTAGTACAGCATAACTTCTAGAAGGGCTTTGAATAGAGGTCTGGTAAGGCTGTACCTGTTGTCCATGAACCAGTCTAGCCAAATGTGGATAGGCTTATCACAAGAAGACTGGCTCCACCAGAGGCCAAGTAACAGAGTGGAAAGAACAGCAGCGATCTCATTTGAGTCCACTCTCTGCCACTTTCTACCTGTGCGGTCTGGACTGAGTCATATAATTTCTCTAGGTTTCAATCCTCTCACTTGTCAAAGGAGGAAATTGGATTAGATGATCTCTAAGGTTCTTTTTGCTCTAAACCTATGACCCTTGGAAATTTTTTTTGGCTACGATAGCTTATAAAATTGCCTTATAAGACACAACTGCAATTTGTGTTTGTGAAGGGAGTACCCACACTAATGAAATACAAATATTGTGAAGTTATTACACAGAAGAGAGAATCCCAGCCTCTGCCTAGCAGATACATTCAGAGCTCTCCCACAAATATGAATTCCCAAATCAGTCAGTATTACAGTCTTTTTAAGCCTGCTGCCTGATATATCAGGAATGCATAAACTTAGTGAGGAGGTACAATTCATCCTATCACTAAAAGGTATTTACTTAACTACTCACGGTAACCAAAAAAAAAAAAAAAAAATCAACAAATCTTTACTGACCATGTCTTAGATATCTCTTGTATTCCCCATAGCAATTAGCATGGTACCGCATACGTGGCAGGAGCTCAATTCAATGATTTATTTAGTGCTATCCAACACTATTATGAAGTAACATATCACAATGGTGAAGAAACAATGCTTTTTAACATAATGCTGATATGACATATAACCAGAAGTATAAACTTAGTCATAGAATGTAACTTTCAAATTATCACATATAGGCATCAATCCTTTACATCAATTAACCTGTTTGTAAATAACACTAACATAAAATTGCCATTACCAAAAATAACCCTTTCTATCATAAAACACTCAAACTAATTCCCAAAACCAAGGTCTAAGGCAGGGAGGAAATGGACTCAAGGTATAACACAAGAAAAACATTGTTACACATGGACAATGAGGAAGTTTGTTTTTCTTGATTACGTTTTATATTACAAGGGTTTTGTTTTTCTTTTTTTCTTTACAATTGGGGGGCTGAGGAGTAAAGATAAATGCATGTTATTTGAAAAAATAAAAATAAATTGTATCCAACAAAAAATGTAACAGTTATGTGAAAACACTGCCATCCTGGTACATCAATTTTTACAGTTAATATGGGGAAAACTTCTGATATTCTTACCAATTCTGAAGTGAGGAATCTGTGGAAGGTTATGCCTGCCACATGGAACTTTTACAAAATCATCCAAAATCTGAACGGTGTCAAACTCCAAGCCTTTGGCTTTGTGAACGGTGCCCAAAACATATTCTAGATCAAGAAAAAGGTAGAACATAGTAAAATGGGGCTTGAAGTGAAGGGAAAAAAATACAGAACTAAAATGTCTCTTTCCTGACAATCTGTAGGTTTGAGGTAGGGCTATAAAGAACAAGGGTAAAATGGAAGGACCAAAGAAACTAGGAGGCAAGATACAGAATGGTTGGTAACAGTCTTGGAAGTTGAGAACCACACACTGACTGCTCCCTTGTATGTCTTTTGTTTGTTTGTTTGTTTTTGGGTTTTTTTTTTTTAGGCAACTGGGGTTAAGTGACTTGCCCAGGGTCACACACCTAGTGTCAAGTGTTTGGTCTGAGGGCGGATCTGAATTCAGGTCTTCCTGAATTCAAGGACAGTGCTCTATCTACTGCGCCACCTAGCTGCCCCCCCTCCCCTTTTCTAAGGCAATTGCTTCCCTCTATGTCAAGCATTGCTATGACATCCATGGAACTGTTAAGCCAGAACTGAGAAAGTTTCCATTACGAATAATGCAGAAAATATGGCAATAAGTCTTATAAAATGCAGTGACAGAAAAGGAATCCTGTTTTCCCTTACCTGCAAATGCTACGTCATTTACATGGCACTTCTCAATCCTTTTCACCAGTTCTGGAATTCGGACGTTGTACTTTTCGACCACTGCAATCTTTGCCATCAGTTCCTTGTCTTCAGCAGCAACAGCATACCTTTTTAAACCCCCATAGCCATCTTTGTGTACCCATCTCCGGATAAATCTGTCCTTGATGGAAAGATTTTCTAAAGAAAACATACATACATTGAAATGAGCGATATTATTATAAAACTTAAGTGGCTACATATTCCTTCCATAAAGCTCTATTCTAATGTCACAATGTGGCATGGAAATGACCCTGAGTTTTCAAAGGCTTTTGGCAGTAGCTGGAAAAGCTTCAAAGCAGGGAATACTTTGGAAGACCTAGCCTGGTCAAATACATTTTTTCTTCAATATGAGGCTAGGAATCTTTTGTCAGGGCAACCCATGACGCAAAGAAAATTATAAAATAGCCCCAAGTTCTAGGCAGCAGTGGGACAGAAGGGCCTAAGAATTGTAGTGATTCAGACACTTACATTTAATTACATAGTAATTAAAAAGCTGGTTCTTAGTCCTGCTTTAAATAAATAAAACAAGAAGACAGAAAAGAAGTTCCACTAAATGGGAGGATACCTCACAGTTCTTCCTGAGAAAGTCAAATAAAGGGGATGGGAAAGGTAGAAGGAGTACACATTTATATAGTCTGTGTACCTATGTACCAGGCACTGTAATAAACACTTTCACAAATATTATTTGAGTGTCACAATAACCCTGGTAGGAATTATTATCCCCATTATTAAGCTGAGGAAATTGAGGCAGACAGGTTAAGTAACTTGCCTAGGATCACACAACTAGGATATGTCTGCAGCTGGATTTGAACTCAGTTCTTCCTGACCCCGGGCCCAGCATTCTAACTACTGCAACCACCTAGAATTAGAGAAGTTTATCATACCTTGGAAAATTGTTTCTTATCAAAGGTAATAAGAAACAATTTTCCATGGAACAGTAAGTCCTATTTAGCACTATAAAGATAATTGCAACTTGTATGCTTCTGTTGCAGATGACAAGGAGATAAAGAATGAAAGAATATGAGAAGACCTTCCAAATTAAACTTTAATACTTGGCAATAAAAAGGTCCACATGGGGAAGATGGCAAGAAAAATTAGAAAATATGGCTGAGGAATCAGAAACAAGAGGCCAACAGCTAGTAAATTACACAGTACACCTTTATATTGTGAATACTTTCTTTAAGTAATGGACACAGCAAGCACCATATTACCAAAAAAAAACCAAAAACCTGAAATTGGTTGTTGCAGACAGAACAGGACTGGTTATCAATGTAGGAGTCATTTCCAAATAAGTTCTCTGTGTACAGTCAGTCTACCAACTTGTTAGAACAGAGATAAAAACTGATACCAAGTAAGAAGAATGAGAAGCTTTGGCATACAATTTTAAATAAACTCTATTTTGACATTTAAATGTTAACACAAAAATGGAAAAATCAAATATTAACACAGACAATAACTATTTCCTGAGAAAGATTAGCTGATATAAATCAGTTTCTAAAACAAAGAGCCTAAAAACCATGTTAGTTATCCAATCAATCAATAAGTGCTTATTAAGAACTTGCTATATGCCAGACATTCTGTTAGTTGCTAAGAATACAAAGACAAAAATGAAATAGTCCCTGCCCTCAAAATACAGGTGTCACAATATGTACATAAGAAGATACACATTAAGTAAATACAAGGTAATTTTGTGTAGGTGGGGAATCAGGAAAGGTCTCATGAAAAAGTGGCACTGGAGCTAAACTATGAAGGAAACTGGATTCTAAGAGATGGAGGTGAGGAAGGAAAACAATCAGGAAGGGAGGAGGGTGGGGGGTGGGAGGTGGGGAGAGAGCCAAGGCAGCACCCTGTGCTAAGGTATAAAAATGAGAGATATAAGCAACAAGGCTAGTTTGACTGTACTATGGTACACAGGAAGGGAAATAATAAAAGCTGTAAAGATAGGCTGGGGCCATATTATGAAGGGTTTGAAATGACATAAGAGTTTGTATTTGATTCAAGTGGTAATAAGCTTTTTGAGCAAGGAAGGGCCATAGAAATACTTGTTCTTTAGGAATATTACTTACGCAGCTGAATGGAGGGTGGACTGGAGAAAGGAGACACTTAAGACAGGGAGACCAATTAGGAAGTTAATGTAACAATCCAGGAAAGAGGCCTGAATAAGGGTAGTTACAGTATATATTGAGAGGAGATGGACCTAAGAGAAGCTGAGGTAGAATTGACAACATTTGGCAATTGATTGGATATATGGGATCAAGAAGAGAGAGGACTCATGAATGATTCACTTTCTAACTTGTTTGACTGAAAGATGGCAGTGACCTTGAAGGCAATAGCAAAGTTAATAAGATAATACAGAAAGAAGTGGAAGTTATATAATTTTGAGGAAATTGAAGGACTGATTCTCAGGAGAGCTCTTGGTGGGGATACCAAACACTTAGGGGGGAAAATTATAACTGTTATTACTGAAAAAGGTGACTTAGAAAATAGCAATAATTACTAATCCATATGCTGGCTTTCCCATCACTATAACATAATTCAGAGATCCAAAACTGAAAATACCAAGGAATATTGTGGCCGAATTCCAAAATTACCAGATCAAAGAGAAAATATTGGCAAGCAGCCAGAAAGAAACAATTTAACTATCATGGAACCACAGTCAGGATTATGCAGGACCTATGCAGCTTCTACGTTAAAAGATCAGAAGGCAAAGAATACAATATTCTGTAGGGCAAAGGAGCTTGGATTACAACCAAGGATCAACTACCCAGCAAAAATGAGCATAATCTTTCAGGGGAGGGGATGGACATTCAATGAAATAGGGGACTTTCAAACCTTTGTGATGAAAAGACCAGAGCTCAACAGCAAATCTGACCTACAAATACAAGACTCAAGGGAGGCATAAAAAGGTAAACAGGAAAGAAAAAACAACAATAACAACATTTTATTAATAAGGGCAACCTGTTTACATCCCTACAAAGGAAGATGACACTTGTATCTCTTAAGAACTGTAATGTAACTATGACATTTAAAAAGGGGGCATAGTTAGAGGGCATAGGTTTCAATTGACTTGGATGTGATGGTAAAAAGTCTAAGTAAGTGGTGAAACGGTATTGCACGGGGAGAAGAAGAAAGGAGGGGGCAGACAAGGATAAATTACATCACATGAAAGGGTACAAAAGCCAACTAAAGTAGAAGGAAAGAAGGGAGGGAGATGAGCATTGTTTGAACCTTACTCTCATCAGATTTGGTTCAAATCAGTTAGGTATAGAAATTTAACTTACCCTATAGGAAGCAGAAAGGGTAAAGGGAAAAGGGGAGGGAGCTAACAGAAGGGAGGGCAGACTGAGGGAGGCAGTGGTAAAAAGCAAAATTCTACTGAAGAGGGAAGGGGAGAAAGGAGAGAAAAAAGCATAAACAAGGGGGGAGGGAATAGGATGGACAGGAAGACACAGATAGTAATCAAAACTGTGAATGTGAATGGGATAAACTCTCCCACAAAAAGGACACAGATAGCACAGTGGATTAAGAACCACAATCCTACAATATGTTGTTTACAAGAAACACATTTGAAGCAGAGGGATACACAAAGAGTAAAGGTGAAAGGCTGGAGCAGAATATATTATGCTTCAGCTGAAGTAAAAAAAGCAGGGGTAGCAATCCTGATCTCAGACAAAGCAAAAGCAAAAATAGGTTTAATTAAAAGAGACAAGGAAGGAAGCTACATCCTACTAAAAGGCACCATAGATAATGAAGTAATATCATTACTAAACATATATACACCAAGTGGTATAGCAGCCAAATTCTCAAAGAAGAAGTTAAGGGAGATACAGAGAGAAATAGAGAGCAAAACTATACTAGTGGGGGGCCCGAACCTCCCCCTCTTAGAACTAGATAAATCTAACCACAAAATAAACAAGAAAAAAGTTAAGAAGATCAATAGAATCTTAGAAAAGTTAAATATGGTTGACCTCTGGAGAAAATTGAATGGGGACAGAAAGGAATATACCTTTTTCTCAGTGGTACATGGCATCTACACAAAAATTGAGTATCTACTAGGGAATATAAAACCTCATGATGCAGAAAAGCAAAAATATTAAATACATCCTTTTCAGATCATGATGTAATAAAAATTACATGTAATAGAGGACCACGGAAAGGTACACTAAAAATTAATTGGAAACTAAATAATCTAATCCTAAAGAATGAGTGGTTAAAACAAGAAATCATGGAAACAATCAATAACTTCACCTAAGAGAATGACAATAATGAGACAACCTACTAAAACTTATGGGATGCAGCGAAAGTGGTCCTTAAGGGAAGTTTTATATCTCTAAATGCTTATACAAAGAAAACAGAGAAAAAAGAGATCAATGAATTGGGCATGCAACTAAAAAAGCTAGAAAACGAAAAAACTGAAAATCCTCAATTAAATACCAAATTAGAAATTCGAAAACCAAAGGAGAGATTATAAAATTGAAATTAAGTGAACTATTGAACTAATAAATAAAACTAAGAGCTGGTTTTATGGGGGAAAAAAACCACAAAAAAACAACAGCAAAATAGATAAACCTTTGGTAAATTTGATTAAAAAAAAGAAAGAAAACCAAATTACCAGTATCAAAAATGAAAAGGGTGAATTCACCACCAACAAAGAGGAAATCAAAACAATAATTAGGAGCTATTTTGCCTAACTGTATGCCAATAAATCTGGCATTCTATCTGAAATGGATGAAATTTACAAAAATATAAATTGCCCAGATTAATGGAAGAGGAAATAAAATACTTAAACAACTCCATTTCAGAAAAAGAAATTAAACAAGCCATCAATGAATTCCCCAAGGAAAAAACCTCCAGGGCAAGATGGATTTACAAGTGAATTCTATCAAACATTTAAAGAACAACTAATTCCAATACTATAGAAACTATTTGGGAAAAGAGGTGAAGGAGGAGTTCTACCAAATTCTTTTTACGATACAAATATGGTGCTGATACCTAAACCAGGAAGAGCCAAAACCAAGAAAGAAAACTATAGACCAATTTCCGTAATGAATATAGATACAAAAATTTTAAACGAAATATTAACAAAGAGATTATAACAACTTATCTCAAGGATAATACACTATAACCAGGTAGGATTT